CCAACCCATGACTGACTACAATACAAAACAGTCAAGTCCAAATATTTCATGGTTAAGCATGAAGTTGAAAAAGATCTAGAGTTATTGGCAGGCATTTAACACAACCAGAAAATCAAATAAGTAAACAGGAGAATGACATACTAGCCACAATTGCTACACTCTCATGAGAACAGAAAGTTAAGACTTCAAGGTGAATGCCAAGACTGAAATTCATTATCTCAGTTGAGGAAAGATATTATTGCCATAGAGGGAGTGGAACAAAGGTTAACCAAATTTCTTCTAGTGTTTCTGGTTCCTCTAGCACTTCAAAGAAGGAAAGTTGATCCAATTGAAACTTGCAAAATATTTAAAAGGATAGACAGGACAGATGTTTCCCCTGGTTGGAGATCTAGTACCAGGGGCACAATTTAAGAATAAGAGGGAATGACATTTGGGACTGAGATGAGGGTGTCATAGAGTAATAGAGAATGGAAACGACCCTTCAGTTCAACTAGGTCACACCGACCATATTCCAAACTAAACTAGCCCCTCTTGCCTGTGTTTGGCCCATATCCCTCCAAACCTTTCCCATTCATGAATTTATCCAAATGTATTTTAAATGTTATAACTGTACCTGCATCCACCACTTCCTCTGGCAGTTCATTCTACATATGAACCACCTTATCTTCCCAATGAACCAAAAATCTCAATCCTTGCACATTAAACCTTCTCTCAGCCATTGATTTATTTGCCCTATCTTTTTATTCTTACTCTCACTAGAACGTGAACTGGAGTAAATCAGAGATTACTATATTTGAGGTTCTGCTTTTTAACCTTCTACCTAACCTGCTTTATTCACTCTGTAAAACCTTAAACCTTTCCCTGACTATGTTGTTTAATTTATTTTTATTTTATTTACTCAGAGGGTTGTGAATATGTGGAATTCGCTAACACAGAGGCTGTGGGAGCTCAGTTTGTAAGTATATTTAAAGTGGTTGGTAATGCTTTGATTATCAACAATATTAAGGTTATGGAGACAATGTAGAAAAAGATGTTGAAGTGCTTGATCAGCCACGATGATGTTAAAAGACAGAACAGGTTTAATGGGCTGAATAGCCCACTCCTGTAACTATGACCACTCCAGTATTGTGTGTCAGAAACTTCTGCTCAGTAAAAAAGCTATAGGTTTTCAGTGAGGAGTTTATGAAATGGACCAATTGGCTTTTCTTTATCCAAACCTTTCTCATTTTAATTTAGTTCAGTATAAGGCAGAAGTCTATGTTCTGGCTATTTTTGAGAAGTATGTTCAGCTTTCCCTGAACTTTGATACAGATGTGTTGGTGAAACAGAGTAAATCACAAGATTGGGTTGCTAACAGAGGACTGAGGTCATAGTGAAAGACTGGAAAGCATATGTACTTTCTTTTTAAGACTGAAAGTACCCAAGGGGGACATACAAGGGCCGCTTCCTATGGATACAGACATTGGTAAATAATGCAGTATACAAGTGGTGCATTTGGGAAATCCTGACAAGATAACAATTATCTTAAAACCAGTTAACTTAAACTAAACAGTTAAAAAGTTAATTTAAAACCAGTGCCTGTCATAATTTTGATGTTTGATTATTGCATCTGGTGTTGCATTAAGGAATACTGCACAAAGATACATCCTGCCTAACTCGTTCCTGTATTTCAAACTAGTTAGCTGCCACTAAAATGACAATACCTTTGGAAAATTTGTATATGTTTGCTAGAATATTTCAATCCCTATCCTTAACATCAAAATAATTAGGTTGACTGGATGTCCAGGATCTGGTGACTTGTCAACACAGTTGACAAATGAAGAATTCATTTAGGACAAATAAACAGAATCAAAAAGAGGAACAAAAACAGAAGTTGCTGGAAATGCTCAGCAGGTCTGGCAGCATCTGTGAAGAAAAAAAATCTGTTAACATTTCAGATCCAGTGACCCCTTCCTCAGAACGGAGACCCAAAACGTTAACTCGGATTTTTTCTTCACAGATGCTGCCAGCCCTGCTGAGCTTTTCCAGGAACTTCTGTTTTTGTTCCTGATTTACAGCATCCGCAGTTCTTTCAGTTTTTAATTAGAATCAAAAAGAGGATGTGCCTTTTCTTCAGTATAACACTGAAGTGCTGATAAATGAATGAATAAGTTAAATTGTAACGTTTACAACAATGCCATGTTGATCAAATGCTGCCTTAACAAACACCAGCATCCATTGTTAAATTTGGTGCCATGTGCATTTTCATACAAATCAAAAGTTTCAGTCCATTTAAAACAAAGTCATACAGGATTAATTAAAATATTAAGAGGGAAAATTGTTTAGATGAAGATAAAGAATTATTTCTGCAAGCATCAGATAACTGATCAACTTCTGTCAGGCAAACAGCCAAGTTGCGGTAAGAACATAGAACATAGAACAGTACAGCACAGTACAGGCCTTTCGGCCCACAATGTTGTGCCAAACTTTTACCCTAAACCCAAGGTCTATCTAACCTCCACCCCTACCTTACATATCATCCATATGCCTATCTAATAGCCGCTTAAATGCCCCTAATGAGGCTGACTCCACTACCCTCTCCGGCAATGCATTCCACACCCCTACCACTCTCCGAGTAAAGAACCTATCTCTGACGTCTCCCCTATATCTACCTCCAGTCACTTTAAAACTATGTCGCCTCGTAATAGCTACGTCCACCCAAGGAAAAAGTCTCTGGCTGTCCACTCTATCTACAACTCTGATCATTTTGTACACCTCTATCGTCACCTCTCATCCTTCGTCGTTCTGAAGAGAAAAGCCCTAGCTCTCTCAACCTTTCCTCGTAAGACCTTCCCTCCATTCCAGGCAACATCCTGGTAAATCTCCTCTGCACCTTTTCTAACGCTTCCACATCTGTCCTGTAATGAGGCGACCAGAACTGGACACAATACTCCAGATGTGGCTGAACCAGGCTTCTGTATAGCTGGAGCATAACTTCACACCTCTTGAACTCAATCCCTCTATTAATGAAAGCTAACACACCATACGCCTTCTTAACAACTCTATCCACCTGGGTGGCAGCTTTCAGGGAACTGTGGACATGAACCCCCAAGATCCCTCTGCTCCTCCAACTGCCAAGAATCTTTCCATTAACCCTGTATTCCGTTTTCAAGTTTGTCCTTCCAAAATGGATCACCTCACACTTTTAAGCACTGAGTAAAATTTCGACAAAGGAATTCCCAGACAAAACAGATGAATAATATTCCAGGAAACAGCAAATGAAAGTAAAGGGTCACAAATCAGCAATAAGGCGCTAATATTATATTTAGCTTCAGACTGATATTGGCAAAAGCATTTAAACCAATACAATTTGTATTTAAGCAAAATACTGCAGATCTTGGAAATCTGAAACAAACACAGAATGCTGGAGAAACCTTGCAGGTCTGGCTGCATCTGTGAAGAGAAAAACAGAGTTAATGTTTCAGAATTCTGTAGAAGTCATACCAGACTCAAAATTCCTCTCCACAGATGTTGCCAGACCTGCTGAGTTTCTTCAGCATTCTCACAATTTGTATTTAACTTGCAGCCTTATTCACATTTAACAACAGTACACTAAATACAGCAGAGCATTAACACTAGGCAGCAGACGAGAGTGGAGACAGATAACAGCAAAGAGACAGATGGCCAGGGGAAATTGATACAGGTAATCAGAAAATGGATTTAGGGTCATTCCAAACAACTGGACTGGAAGTACTGACGAACAGTGATGGTGGGGATGGGGGGTAGTCCAAGAGGATAAACAGAAATCCAGAGTCAGAGCAGGGAAATAGTAGGTGACACAAAGCTGGGGGTGATCATTCAGACAACTGGAGCCTGTAGAGGGAATTGAGAATGAAGGGAACTTGGAACCAATGATGTTGACACGGATGACTTGAATAAGGAGCTTATGGAATGAAAGGCAACTTGAAGAAATAAAAAAAACTAGCTGAATCATAGGAAGCAGAAAGTAGTGGTTAGTGGCTGTTTTTTGAATGAAGGAAAGTTTATTGTGCAGTTCCCCAAAGTAGGTTTAGGACTCCTACTCTTGTTGCACGTTAATGACGTTGAGCTTGTATATAGGGAAAACTTGGAATTATTGTGAATTATGCAGAGGATGATGTAGAACTTCAAAAGAATGTGGATCGGTAAGTACAAAAGCAGATAAAATTCAATGCAAAGAAATAGGAAGTGATTTTTAAAAAAAAATCATTTACGGGATCAGGATGTCGCTACCTAGGCCATCATTTATTGTCCATCCAGGGGGCAGTTAAGAGTCGACCACATCGCAGTGGGTGTGGAATCACATGTAGGCCTGAGTAGGTAAGGTTGGTAGTTTCCTTCCCTATAGGACATTAGTGAAACGTCCCGGAAAATAGCGGTGGCAGCGTCAGTCGAAGCTTTCAAAAGCCAATGAGATTGTTGATTTAAAAGGAATATGCAGGACGTTCTGAGGAAGGGGCGCCGGGCCGGAAACTTTAACTCTTTACAGATGCTGCCAGACCTGCTGAGCTTTTTCAGCAACTTTTCTGTGTTTGTTTCGAAATATGCAGAGCTACTGGGTGAAAGTGGAGGAGAGTCTCTCGGTAAATTACAGATCAGTTCAATCACGACCGGCCAAGCCTAACCAGAAAATAACCCGTAAACACACCTAACCTTAACTCTAACACTTTACTCCTAACATGAACCCCATATCCACGAGTTCCTGGTCTGAAACATGATCCTTTAAACGTAAAACCGAAATCTCTCTCACACACACATACACACAGAGGATAGCGATTCCGCCTACAGAAATAGACAGGAGATAACAACTGAGCTACATGAAAAGGTTTTCAATGGAGGAAACTGTAACCACGCAAGAACTAGTCATATAGACTGCGGTTGCTATGGTTTGGTAGTGGAGGTTTTGCAGAGTGGGAAATAAATCTCATTGTGTTTATCTATCTGAAGGTTGCAGTTCTTCAGCAAACAGACCGTGCACTCACCGCGGTTCTCTCGGGCAATCCCTGATCCCGGGGATCCAGGCTGTGGTTCAGCTCATCTCTGTTCCTCTCTGTGGCCGGAGCATCGAGCAGCCTCCAGCTGAAAGCCAACAGCAGCAGTGGCGACACATCTAGCAACAAGCTAGGGCTCCAGTAGATAAAAGGAGCGACAAAAAGAACGCCAGCAAGTAGCTGTTTCAGAGACATGTCTCCGCGCACAGACAATACAAAAACATACTAACAGGGGCGGAGCCTGTCTCCGGAAGCGGGGGGAGGGTGTGGAGAGGAGAGATAAAGCCCTTTTGCCGTTGGCTGACTCATGGGACATGAGCAAATTAAACGTCCCGCTTTCAGAGGGTCGGAAGCACAAACTAAATACATCCAAAATATCACTTGTATTCGTTCTCCTGGCGACTCAAACTTGCTGGAACGTGTAGCGGAAGCAGGTTCAATTGAGATATTCCATGGTATTTTAAAAGTGAAAGACAGGAGGTTTAGAAGGGGTTTGAGGTAACAAGTTTCACACAGACTATGATGGAAATGTGGAATGCACTGCCTGGGAAGGGAGTTGAGGCAGGAAACCTCACAACTTGGATGATCACTTGAGTGACGCCTGCTGAAGATGACTAAGAAGCGAAGGAATAACGGACGTGCAAAGAAGGGTCGTGGCCATGTCCAGCCCATCAGGTGCACAAACTGTGCCCGCTGCGTCCCAAAAGACAAAGCTATTAAGAAGTTTGTCATTCGCAACATCGTGGAGGCTGCTGCAGTTCGAGATATTTCGGAGGCCAGTGTCTTTGATGCATATGTGCTGCCCAAGCTGTATGTAAAATTGTCAGCTGTGCCATCCGCAGCAAAGTGGTGAGAAATCGCTCAGGGCCAGGAAGGATCGAACTCCACCTCCACGTTTCAGTCCAGGCGCCAACATCCCACGTGGCCCTCCTCAAAAGCCTATGTAAGCGTTGCTGGATCCTATAAATTGGTTTGAAAGAATAAAAATGATGAACAACTGGAAAAAAAATCATAACATTAAAGGCTCCAAACCTATGATGGGAAAGTGATACGTACTCAATGGGCTGAAAGGTACTGTCTGATTCTAAGACATTAGATGATTATTTAAATAGAAATAATAAGCAGGGTTAAGAGGATTGCACTCTCTTGATACTTATTTGGAGAGCTCTCCTTGACAAAGTTGTTCTAACTCAGCCCTATTTTACCGTGCACTTCAAGTTAGTAATGGACGAGATTGCAGAAAACTTGTAAGTCCATGGTAAATACTTGCTGGTTGCTTGCTGTCAGTGCATGTTAATTTTTAGTGTTCCTTGTACAAATATATTTGTGGCTGGCTGAATATCATTATTTAACATTCCATGCCTTTTCACTTTTTTTGTTTTTAATCCTTATAAAGCGTACACCTCATACTTCCCCACATTGTAATCCAGCTTCCCACTCACCTTATATTTATTAGCACCCTTGTTAGCACCTTATGTTCTCGTCATGTCTCCACAGAGAATTGTCTACATCATTCATATTGATTTTAAATAGATGATCTACACAGTGCCCCACCAGTGACAGCCTGTCAACTTTAAAATTCCTGATTTATCCCTACTATTTGCTACCTGTTGTTAACTGATCCTCTCGCTTTATTAATACATTACCCTCAGCTTCTTCAGCTCTATCTTGTGTATTTCCTGCTTAAGATATCTTGCTGCGACAATAATTGATTTTAAAAACTGAATTCTCAACTTTCACTGCACTACAAATTGCCTGTTTCATTCTTTAATAAACTTCTAGATAGTTTACAATTCAGATTGTCTGACATAATCTTCTGTATTACTAACATGAGAACCACATTAGGGAAGAAAATCTGCCACCCTGGTCTAGCCTACATGTGACTCCAGACGCACTGCAATATGGTTGACTTTTAACTGCCCTCTGGGCAATAAATGCTGATCTAGCCAGCGATGCCCACATCCCATGAATGAATAAAAAAAGTCACTACTCTTTTTGGTGGGGTGGGGTGTACATTCCTAAGGAATTATTCCCAGAAGCTGATAATAGCCCGAACATCATAATGGATGGAATTTGATTGAATGGCCTTCTGACAAACAGTAACATTCACAGGGATTCCTTTCATGATTCCATCAGACCTTCAGACCCATTTAGTATCTGTGTTTCTCAACTTAATGTTGGGAGGAATCTTCTGAGAAGGATTCCTCACCAAATATTGTTCCAAAAAGGGGCCAGAAAATGTAATCCATCTCAGCATGGCCAGGAACTGGGGCAGTAAAATTTACTGCAGTGCTGGTGACTCAGAAGGGGTCAAAACAATAGCCATGGATGTTGCTCCCCATTGTCTTCTAATGACATCTGAAGGAAAATGTGTGTTTGATCCCGGATGATATCTAAAACATGTTCAACTCTATTGTGGCATAGCCTAAATCATGCATTAAAACTACAAGTTGATGTCAGAATCCCTAGCAACATACCAAACAGCAATCAACGGTTTCAGACAAAGAGAATAGAAATAATATATTGCAGGACAATGAAACTGAAACTGAGACTCAATTTTGCAACTCAACAATGGTAACCCTTCCAATAGTTTGGTCTTTGAATGTGCAATAAGTATTTCACATCTGATTTGAGATTTGTGGAGATGGTTGAATAGTAAAAATGTTATTGTGCTAGTAATGTACAGGCCCACACTGATGCTCTGGGGATATGGGTTCAAAGCCTAGCATGGAAGTTGGTGGAATTTAAATTCAATTAATGAATCTATGCAAAGCTAGTCTCAGTAAAGAGCCACGATTCAACCATCAATTGTTGTAAATAACCCATTTGGTTCACTAATGTACTTTAGGGAAGGAAATCTACCACAATTACTTCTTCTGACCCACATATGACTCTGGATTAAAGTAATATGGTTGACTCTTAATGGATCTCTGAATTCATCTAGAAATCCATTCAGTTCAAGGGCAATAATGCCTTTCCAGGAACACCCACATCCCATGAAAGAATAAAACAAATATTATTTCCAGGGATCTATAATGGAATCACAGCTTTCCAACACATATATAAAGGAGTTGGATGTTTTGATTTGCTAACTTAGATACTTAGTGCATCAGACTGTCAAGTAAATTGTCCATAAGAGAAAAGGAAGTTACAAAGGGATATAAATAGAATAAATCTGTGGGATTTCCATTCTTGGGTCAGAAACCTGACACTGAGGGTCTGTCCACGGTCTTGACCCCTTGTGTTCCCTATAGGACTCCTACTATATTTAATTATCATTCAATTAAAGACTCGGGAGAGGGTCCATTGTCCAATTAAGGATAGAAGTTACTCTCTCAATGTTGAAAACTCAATGGAAAGTCATCCAGCAGTGACATTGTCATCATCTGGACAAAAATAAAGAATGTAGTGTGTGAAAGCATGAAGTTATGCACTTTGGCAGGAAGGTGAGAAGAACTGAAGGTTATTTAAATAGTGAAAGATGCAGAACATAGAACTATACAGCACCGGAACGGGCCCTTTAGCCCAAGATGTTGCGCTGAATATGACACCAAATTAAACTAATCCCTTCTGCCTCCCTATGGTCCATTCCTTGTATATTTATGTGCTTATCTAAAATGCCCTTATCATATCTGCCTCCACCACCACCCATGGTAGCGCGTTCCAGATTCCTACCACACTCTGTGTAAAAAAAACTTACCCCTCATATCTACTTTGAACTTCCCCCTCTAACCCTAAGTGCATGCCCCCGAGTATCAGACATTTCAATTCTGGGAAAAAGATTCTGACCATCAATCTTATCTATACATCTTATAATTTTATCAACTTCTATCAAGTCTCCACTCAGCCTCCACCACTCCAGAGAAAATAATCAGCGTTTTTCTAGCTTCTCCTTATTGTTCATACCCTCTAAAGAGGCAGCATCCTGGTAAAGAGATAGCAAGAACTACAGATGTTGGAGTCAGAGACAACACAGTGTGGAGCTGGAGGAACACAGCAGGACAGGCAGTATCAGAGGAGCAGGAAAGTTGACGTTTTGGGTCAGGACCCTTCTTCAGAAGAAGGGTGTAAACCCGAAACATCAACTTTCCTGCTCCTTTCCTGCTGCCTGGCCTGCTGTGTTCCTCCACCTCCACATTGTGTTGTCTCAGCATCCTGGTAAACCTCTTCTGCACCCTCTCCAAAGCCTCCTCATCCTTCCAATGATATGGTGACCAGAATTGAATGCAATACTCTAAGTGTGGCCTAACCAAAGTCTTATAAAGCTGCAACATGGCATCCTGACTCTTGTACTCAATTCCCTGACCAATAAAGGCAAGCATGCCTTTTTTTTTGCTTTATTCCAGGGGAGGCGATGGCCTAGTGGTTTGATTACTGGACTGTTTAATCCAGAGACCCAGATAATGTTCTGGGGACCCTGGTTTAAATCCCACCGTGGCAGATGGTGGAATTTGAATTCAATAAAATATCTGGAATTAAGAATCAACAATGACCATGAATCCATTGTCGGTTGTTGGAAAAACCCATCTGGTTCACTAATGTCCTTTAGGAAAAGAAATTGCCATCCTTACCTGGTCTGGCCTTCATTGGACTCCAGACCCACAGCAATGTGGTTGACTCTGAACTGCCCTCTGGGCAACTAGGGATAGGCATTAAATGCTGCCTGGCCAGCGACGCCCTCATCCCGTAAATGAATAAAGGAGAAAAAAAAAAATCATTTACGGGATGAGGGCATCACTGACCAGGCAGCATTTATTGCCCATCCCTAATTGCCCAGAGGGCAGTTCAGAGTCAACCACATTGCTGTGGGTCTGACTCACATGTAGGCTAGACCAGGTAAGGATGGCAGCTTCTTTCCCTGTGAACCAGATGGGTTTTTCCGACAATCGACAAGGGATTCATGGTCATCATTAGATTCTTAATTCCAGATATTTTTGATTGAATTCAAATTCCACCATCTGCCATGGTGGGATTCGAACTTGGGGACCCCAAAACATTATCTGGGTCTCCGGATTAACAGTCCAGTGATAGTACCACTAGGCCATAGCCTCCCCTCATGTGCCTTCTTTACCACTTTATCAACTTGCGTGGTCACGTTCAGGGAGCTATGGACTTGGACCCCAAGATCCCTCTGTACATCAAGGCTGTTCAGAGTCCTGCCATTAACTGTATACTTTTCATTAACATCTGATCTCCCAAAGTGTAGCACCTCACGTTTACCCAGATTAAACTCCATCTACTCATGTCTGCAACTGATCTATATCTCACTGCATCCTTTGACAGCCTTTAAATTATCCGGGACATCTCCAATCTTTGTGTCATCTGCAAACTTACTAACCCACCCATCTATGTTTTCATCCAAGTCATTTACATATATCACTAATGAAGGACATTAGTGAACCAGATAGGGTTTTCCAACAATTCACAATGGTTTCATGGTCATCATTAGATTTTTAATTCCAGATACT